TGGAGGCAGTTTGTTTAGCTTGAATCAGTCTTACAGCCAACACCGAACACATCCAATACCCTTCGTATTCTATAACTCAGGAGATAGTGCAGGTTTTTCTGCTGACTGTAAATTAAACAGAAAAGTCACTCCAGTAGTGTGCCCTACCTTTTAATTGTAGAAACTTTCAAACATGAGTATAAATTGAACTGATCTGCCCACATATGCACCACTGAAATTTAACCTTCGTTCAAATTTGTATTGTTACCCACATCTGAATAAAATTTACTTTTAAAGGATTTTTATTTTATCATTTGTTTATACGTCTCTGTGTGTCTGTGGGTCCCTCTGTGCAGGTGCCCTTGGAAGCCAGAATTACGTGTTGAATCTCTGGAGCTGCAGTTACAGGCAGCTGTAAGCTGTCTGGTGTAGGTACTGGGGAACCTCTGAAAGTGCAGCAAGCACTCTTAACTACTAAGTTCTCTCTCCCGCCCCATAAATTAAATTTCTATATAAATCTATGTGCAGAATGATTTTTAAGAAAGTGTCTGACAGCTCACTGAGCAGTAAATTTAAAGCTGTTTTTTGATAATTTCACCACCTATCTTAGCTCAGGCTGTTATAATACCATAATATAGTATAATATAGAGGGAGGGAGATATTAAAGTGATTGCATGGCAGAGAGGGGCCAGCAACAGGGACTGGGACAGAGGAAAGTGACGCAGTGGGAGAACAGAAATGTCTAATGCGCCATTTAACCTGCCTGCCAACATCTATCTGAGCCAGTAAAGGTGGTAATACGTGAAAAGGCTTTGTGTGATGAGGACCCCAGGTATAGACTCAAGGGTACCCACAGGCCAGCCTGGCTCCACAGCTTTGGTTGGCTGAAGTCATTCACAGGCCTGCCCCGCACTTGGTGGCACTGGGCAGTAGTGTGCATTACGATGAGCAGACGTGCGGTGGTGAAATGAAAGAGAAAAGGTGGAACGGTCTGTGTGCTGTGGAAAGAGAGACCAGAGGAAGCGAAGGCAGCGAAGAACAGGATGATACGGGTAGTTTGCTTGCCACATGAGGCCATGGTGACATCGGGCCCCAATTGCTGCCAAGGGCCATGTCTGGGTCCGTGATCCTGCTGCAGCTGCGATCTCTACTGATGTCTGTGACCCGTGTTACCACAGAAGGTCTGCAGTTGAAATACGAGGGCCAGTCTGAGCCAGTCCTGCCCTTCACCGGTCCTGGGAAAGCTGGTCCCACTCCTTGATGGACACTGTAGTAAGAACTCACCCAAATACCCTGGCATGGGAAAGCTGCTCTCCTGCACATAGGAGAGACGGCCCCACCCCACAGCATGGGTGTGGGAGAGCTGACCCTGTTGCTGTGGGCATGGGAGAACTGGCTGTGCACCTCACCTGAGGGGCCTGGCCCCATGGACGAGGTCTGACCACATCCAGAGCCTCGGGTTGGCCCACCCTAACATCTACCCCACCTGGGATCTACTGGAACATGTGAAAAGATTGGTCCTGCAGATCAAGCCTGCAGGATCTCCATGACTTGGGTCGGCTTCGGGATATCCCAGAGGAGTTTTGGTGAGGGTCTGGTGATGATGGTATGCCAGAGACCAGAGACCTTGAACCAGACCAATGACTTATTGCAATGAACATTTCCAAGTAAAGCTGACGGGACAGAAGGGTACTCCGCGAGACACACTTGGGCTCCCAAGGACACTAAGACACGTGAAGAGGTGTTGGAGAGGTGGGAAAGATGGAGGAGAAAAGTGGTTTGGGTTTTCTGGGTTTGGTTTGGTTTGGTTTGGATTTTTTTAAATTTCTTTGGGGGGCAGTGTTGCAAGGGTGAAGGGCAGATATGGAGGGACTGGGAAATGAGTGGGATTGGGGTGCATAATATGAAATTCCCAAAGAATTAATAAAGACATTATGTTAAAGAACAAATAAATAAACAAACAAATAAGCCCACATGGGCACAGCAATGTGCTGGTCATGTGATCCAGAAACTCAAGTAATGGCAGGATTCAACGTTAGAGATGACCAGGAAACAAATGGAAGCATGGCATACCTGCTTCCTCCATGGTCACTGGGGAGTTTTGGGGATTATTCTCACGACAGGTATGGGACTGAGCCAACCAGACCAACTCAAAGTATAGAGATCTGACACTATGACAATATGGTGTTACTTCATTGATCTGAGAGCTCCTTCTTTGTCGATGTTCAAACTGTTGAGAAATACCTCTTGCTAGAAAAACACCAGTCTTTTACAGAGGGAGACCTGGGGTTAAGGCAGTGCTACGCCCCCTAACATCTGTCTCCCTTTAGTAGCAACCCAGCAGGTAGTTCAGGGTCTCAGCTTCCAGGACTTGCCTTAGAGCAACCTGGAGTTTGGGTGTGTGTGAATCAGAGTACCTGACTCAGCTCCAAGATATATGGAGAGAATGTGGCCCCTGCGTGACCGTCCCATAGGAAAAAGGGACGTCTCTAGTTTCCTTGTTTGTTTAGCCTGGTCTCCACTCTATTTGAATGGGAGAAACTTTGGCGTTCTCAATGATGGAAGGCCATCAATCTTGTGAAAATTTGTGGCAGTAGTGAGCTATGTGTCTCTGCAGGGATAAGCTCTATGCCAAGTGCATGAATCATGGAACTAGAGGCAGGAATTGTGTCCCCCGTTTAACAGATTAGAAATGAAAGTTTCTAGCAATTGTAAATGATTGATCTGTCCAAAGTCAGACATCCCAAACATAATCTTAAGTTGAAATGTTGTGTTAACTATCATACTGATTAGCTAATTATATCCAACTGGAATAGTTTTATTTACTGTTCTTCATAAAGATGTTCTGATCATAGGAGTACACAGTCAGTATTGTGTTGAAAGATGCTCTATTAGTTTCTAATGTGGCATCTAAGTCTGTTCTGTTGCATGCTCCAGATAATACTTGAGCCTGCTGTGTCCTCTGAATAATGGCTTATTCCTATTACCAAAGGAAAGACATGTGATCTAGGCTATTCTGTAGAATAGGAAAGTTCCAAAGGTGGAGTCCCTTGAAAAACAATGTTAGAAGTTCATGTCTTGGCTCTACAAATAGATATTTGTCTAAAAGTGAAAAGAAAGTTTTAGATTTATTTTAGGTGTTTGTGTTTTGCCTGCATGTATGTACACCACATGCATGCCTAGTCCCCACCAAAGTCAGAAGAGGGCTTGGGATCCCCTAAAATGTAAGTTACAGATGGTTGCAAGCTACCGTGTGGGTTCTGCGAACCGAGCCCTGGCCCTCTGCAAGGGTAGCAAATGCTCTTAACCACTGAGCCATCTCACCAGCTCAAATAGAATTTTTTAAGTACGTAATAGACGATAACAATGTAATTCAGTGCTTTCTACACTTGGTACTTCTTTTGTCTCTTTAGAATCTTCAGAAGATGTGCGGGGCGTTTGTAATGTGGCCAGCCTTTTATTTTATAAGTTGATTGAGGACATTAAAAAGCGGCTACCCGTCCTTTCCATTCAATATAAAAAATGAAAGTGGGTTCCTGCGAAGGAAGCTCTTGGGTTCCAGATCTGTGGAAAACTTGCTGTAGTCTGATTTTCTCCGCAAGGGCCAATGAAAACCTTATAAAGCAGCATTTGAAAACAACCAGTCTAAATAACCAGAGTCTATATTCAAAAACTCAGTTATGATTTCCTCATGTCTCATACTCATTGACTTCATTTATATTTAAAGGGAAATGTGTTTAAAACAGATCTTGAATATAAAAAATGACTTAGTTGGATTTCTCTCCAATAAGTTATGAACTTTGGAAGGGAAAAACTATTCAATCTTTGATTTATAAATCTCCAGTATTTTGCCAACATTTCAAATAAATTGAGGGGGGGCACTGATGGAGCATTCTTACTTACCAGTTTATCAAATACATCTCCAGTCAATCAGGAATGATTAAACCAGGATAATGTTTACATTTCATAGAGAAACAAAATTCTTGGAACTTGTCCACGTCTCTGTCTAAAGACTTGCCATTCATTCGCATTCGGATAAATTCTTTGTTTTCAATCATCCAGAATAATTCTCAAGTTATTAACGAACCAGACTAAATAGTTAGCTGCACTCATGCATTTTAATATCAGTGTACAGAAAGGCTTTCCTAATTTTGCTTTCAATCAAATATCCAAGTGTTGTCTGGTGACTCCCAGATTCAGTTACTAAAACAGGTCACTTCCAGAAGGAGAAATAAAACTTGCGTACATCTTGGCCATTTCCTAGAAACCTAGAGCTATGCTTTGATCTACCTCTGTGGAGGTTTATGAATGAGTGACCTTACCTGTCACAGAGGTGTATGACTAAGTAGTCATTGCTAAGTATGGGATTTGTGTTTTATTTGGTCACAATCCAATAGAGGCAGCCCGTAAGCGACACTGGGAGAGTTACTGTATCTTAAAGGGCGGAGTTTGGCCATTGCATGGCCTGTGTAAATACTAGGTCACTCATGGGTGCTTGTTGGAAAAAAAAAAAAAAGAAATACTTTGGTAAGATGAACATAAACAATTCCACTGGGAAAGTCCCCAGGGGTGGGGGCTCCCTGCCTTCTGTGGGAGGAATGAAGATTTTGCAGAACTAAGTAACAGCTGATATAAAATTGAAAGATACCCAAAGTGAAGCCGAGCCGGAAAAGAAGGGGTTTGCTTGCAAAGCGAATGCTAATAAACACAAAGGAAAATGCAGGGTGTAATTCAGACTGAGAAAACCACTGCCGGGAGCAACGATGCTCAGCAGCCTGAGAAGCAGCACCAAGGGTAGGAGCCTGGGTTAGCAGAGTGCTGGAAGCCACGCTTAGCCCAGCTTCCCATCAAGCAAAAGATAGGTTTCCTTAAAAGCTGTAGAACAGCGCACGATAAAAATTGTGGCAAAGAGGGACAAGCTGCCTCTGTTAAACACTATTGTCATCTCAAATCTAGAAAGAGGGACCGTTAACCTTCAAGGGAAAGCCATCCAAAAACCCACACTTAATTTTTTTTTCTCAGGAAACAGGGCTATTGGACATGAAGCTCTTATCTTCATGGGTTGTAGGCAATCTACCACGGTCCAAGTTCCTGTTACAACCTTTGCCATCCCAAGGGTTCTCATGAATTTTGCCTTCACACTTTTGTGTAAGTCATTCATGCTGCCTTTGCTTTTTCTCTTTGTAGCTCTTATCATCAAACTCAAGACCCACCTCCCCGGAAGAATTTCCACAACTGTGACTCACATAGCCGCTCACTCCATTACTTTGGAAACCTATCCTGGATGTCTTTACACTACAGTAGAATATAACATGAACTTCAGAAAGGATACTACATCTGTCCCTTTCTGTCTCCAGTGAGGAACTGCTACCCATCCCTACTTCATCCCTCGCTCAAATTAGAGTCTTTTTATAGGGCAGCACCATGCTTTGGGGAGAGCTGTCCCTGTAAGCAAGGAAGGATTCTTTGGAGCAGACATCCTGCAGGAGTTACAGGATGCAGATTTTCATCTTTCTTTGGCTCCAACTTCTCAGCAGGGTGTGCGGAGCTTCTACAGGGTCCCCACCAAGAAAGAATTACTATGTGTCTTGGTTCCTTCTCCTTACTGTTTCTGGCTTCTGTGGGCTTGGTAGTGATCCCAGAACTCAAACTGTTAACAGTCTGGGACTGAGCACCATGGACAGGAAACACTAAGAAAGAAAGAAAAAAAAAACCTGCAAAACCCATTTTACATATTTCAGGCTTACTTTTTCAGGACTGTTTCTCTCCGATACACTTTTACTCCTCTCTCCTAGCTGTGACCAACAGTGGTGGGCACACTGCACCCATTTTGCACACTGAATTTCATTCCTCCAGCTGTTATTTAGGGCTCCAGAGCCTTTGAGACACACCGTGCGTTGTGGGGAGAGGCCCCATCAAGGGACCCTGAGATGTCAGGTGAACAAAGGCACCTTTATCTCCAGGCTCCAGCCTGGTAAAAGCCATGGCATCTGGGGACTCGGCACTGACTCTTGTTAAAAAGTAAATCGGGTCTTCCAAAAGTTTGTCTGGAGCCGCGCATACCTGAGAGCGATCGTCTCCCAGGCTCAGAACTAACTGCTGCTTCAGCCTGTGTGAGCCAAGTTCTGCCCTCGGGGATGCAAATGGAACTAGAGCTTGAAGCAAGTCCAGTGGTTTGATTTGCATGGGAAGCTTTCGCCTCTCAGTGAAGGCAGCCAAATTCCCTGGGCGCCCCAGCCCTCCGGAAATATGCCTTACAGGGGCTGGGGGGCCCTAGGCCCAGCCGGGTGGGTGTGATTTGAATGTTCATTGCCACAGCTGCTCCGCTCAGCCCTGGTCGTTGCCATTGGTCCCGCTCCATTTTACTGCCTCAGAATCCCCTTGTGCATGTTAGTGGTTAACACAGCAGCCAGGAGACGCCAGACAGCTCTCAGCACCTGGTTCAAATTTAAGGCTCATTTACACATGATGTCACACACGCATTGTCAGCGCGAGGGAGGTCAGGATGGTTCATTTTGGGAAGGTTTGCATTGTTGAGTCTTTACAACACTCGCTGCTATTAATGCCTTAACCATCTGACTTGGATTTCGGTTTTCTGGCATGAGGTAATCCCAGGCACTAGATTTATATGCTGAATGGGAAGCCAGCAAGGGTGGCTAATCACGCCGGTTTGCAGATCTGCACCTCTGGAGCCTTGGGATGGAATTAGAAGGCCACATGGCATGTAGCAAATCACAGGGGTTCAGAGAGGAGGGGAAACAGCCAGACCTGGAGTCGGGCTGTGGAGGGTTGCTACCTAAGCCAGGATGCTTGATGAAGAAGAGACACCAAAGTGCTTGGACAGGGGTCTCCATCAGTCATTCTAGTGTTTGGGACATTATGAAACCTGTCTTTCTGTTCATTACCCAAAGAGATCCCAAACCGTCTTCCCAGGCCCATCCAAGTCTCTTGTTCCATGGAGCCTTCCCTGCCTGCCTGCCTAGTCCAGAGTCATTTCTCTTCCACATCGCCAAATGCTTCTGCCAATAAAACAAGCAGAGCAACCGTTATGGTACTTTCTGTTATCAGCTCCCTGTCCCACACAACAGTCTAACATGGAAAACATTTTCCTTTACATTTTTTTTAAGGTAATAGAACAGATTCAGAGAGTTCAAATCAAGTGTCCGATGTCAGAGTTGGCAGGATCCAGGACGAAGACTGACTCCCAAGGGCTGGGTTCTGGACCACCAGGTCGGCTCTGTGCTAAACGGAGATTCCACATCTTCAGTGGCGCACGGTAACATGGTAGGTCCAGTCTGTGTCCCTAAGGAGATGGCACACAGGAGTTTACAGTAATGCTGCCTGGTGCTTCCTGTCAGTGTGACCATCCCCTCTGCCCTTTCTGTCCCCTCTGCTAGCTAATGTGCACCTAGCCAGCAGTGCAGTCTCCTCAGGGTACGCGTCAATGGGAGAAAGGAAATCAGCCCCCTTCACCGTTGCCAGAGCTGGTTTCCTGTGTAAGACACTGAAGTGTTCGCAATCTTTGGGTCACCACCCTGTCACCTGTTACTGTACTTGTCTTGTGGCATCCTACAGAGTGTCTGAGCAGGCGTGGGAGTCTGTGGCAGGTTTCTGAGAGTGATAGACCTCAGAGAGGGTGAGCAAGAGTAGGCCAGTGGAGAGGAGAGTGTTTGACTCTCTGGACAGAGAAGGCAGGATGGACCTAGAGGTGCGACTGCCCGCATCTAGGAACATTCTTAGACATAGAAAGCCATAAAACAAACTTTAGTAATTTTTTTAAGATTTATTTATTATGTATACAATATTCCTTCCATGTATGCTTGTATACCAGAAGAGGGCACCAGATCTCATTATAGATGCCTGTGAGCCACTATGTGGTTGCTGGGAATTGAACTCAGGACCTCTGGAAGAGCAGTCAGTGCTCTTAACCTTTGAGCCATCTCCAGCCCTTTAGTAAAATTTTTTAAAAAAATTAAAATCACACAAATATGATATTGAACTGAAGTGAAATTTAATCAGAAATTGTTAATGAAAATTTCCTAGAAAACATCTGAAATTTTCAATATTAAGCAACATGCTTCTAAGTAATCCAGGAATTCAGAAAAATGTGTAAAAGAAATATCATCTAAGCTACTTGCAGAGAAAAAAAACTAGTAAAAAAGAACAAATTAAACTCAATACAAAGGAAATAATAAAAGATAAATAGAAACCAATAACATTGAAAGCAGAAAAAAAAATCAAGAAAGAAAAGCCAATGATAGCAAAACCTGATTCTTTCAAAAATCTAATAAAATGGCTAATTCTTCAGCCATATGGACCAATAAAACAAGAGACTTGGTGATCAACTCCGGGATAAAGAAGAGGGATCACTACAGATTGCACAGACGACAAAAGGATAAAAGAACTGTGTGTGTGTGTGTGTGTGTGTGTGTGTACTTGACAACACTGGTAATTGGGTATTGGCTCGTGTGGTAAAATTAACTGGTTCCTTGGAAAATTCAAACTGCCCAAACACGTAACTCTTGTCATATACCTATTGATAAAAATGAATTCCAGTTATAAATCTGAGATATTCAATAAAAAGCCCACACAATACAACCATTTGTGTTTCTCCTAAAGTTTTGATTGGATGTAAGAACATTCAATGTGTAGAACAAAGAAGGTAAATAGGATTTGCTCCTGGATAGGCCCTGCCCCGTGCGCTGTTTTGAGTACACTGAGGCAAGATTCCACTGTTTCGGTTTTGTTGTTGCTGTGGTCTTTGGTACACTATTGGGTTTAGCTTCCATTCCTTCGTGTGTAAAGCATGAGCAGAGTGTCAGGGATTTAGGTTTTTGTTTTCGAGGTTCCCCTGCACCCTTAAGTTTCAGCCTTCATTGTGTGTGCTGCAAAAGGGTCTTTCAAGCTCTTGCCTTCCGGTTCTGAGGTAAACTGCTATTGTCTATAACTTGGGAATATGGGATGTGCTTGGTCCTAGTTCAGTCTCAGGCAGGCCCTATGTATCTGAGTGTCTTAGGGTTCCCATTGCTGTGATGAAACACCATGACTGAAAGCAATTTGGGGAGGAAAGGGTTTATTTCATTTATTCTTCCCGCATCATAGTTCACCATCAGAGGCAGCCAGGGCAGGAACCTGAAGGCAAGGATTGATGCAGAGACCACAGAGGCCTTACTGGCTTGCTCTTCGTGGCTGGTTCAGTCTGCTTTCTTATATGATCAGGAGCACCAGCCTAGGAGTAGCGCTGCCAACAGTGGGCTGGGCCCTCTCACACCGATTGTCAATCAAGAAAATGCCCTACAGGCTTGCCCACAGGCCAGTCTGATGGGGGTCATTTTCACAATTGAGGTTCCTCTTCCAAAATAACTCTAGCTGACATAAAACAAACCATCCCTCTGAGTCTCAGAGTGGATTTTTCTCAGGATTCTACTGCAACAGCCAAACTGTACCTTATGTCACTGACAGGAAAAAGCTGTCCTGACTCTGCCTGGAAATCAAGAGTTGTATCTTTTATTGGGCTAGCTGCAGTGAGTCTGCACCCGACCTTGACCAGGTCATCCAACCCTGATTGCTGCAGCCTCTAACACCCACCCCTAGAAGTAGAGGAGAAGGGAAGAGGAACTTAGTGTCTTTAGCATTGTGCTATCCTCCCTCCGGCCTGAACCGTGGAGGGTGGTCCGCTTTGGCCAAGTCCCTGCTTTCCATCCTTAGTCCAGGGCTGGAGGCCAAAACAGAGAAGAGCCTGGAGAGATGTCTGTGCTTTTGTGTTTGAACTCCCAGGCGTGCTAACCTCTCCTGGGAGCCACTTTGGACTTTTGGTAATTTGTTAATTGTTTGTTGTTGTGGTCAAGCGTCTTTTATTTTTCATATGTTCATATCTGTCCCTACTCAACCATAAACCCTTATGCATATTCTGCCTCCATTGGCTTTCTTTGCCTAGATTCCAGGATTTGGGGTTCCCTGTGATATTAACTTTCTGACGGATTCAAGACAATATATAAAAATCAGCATTCGTTGTTGTCAGAATTGGGAAAAGCACAATCAGCTGCACATTGGCTAGGAGTGAAACTCACCCACCTTCAGATCTAATCACACCTGGGCCGCTCGCTTCGCTTTTCTTCTCAGCTGTGGCGTGGCTATTCTTACATATCTATTTCCTTAAAAGCACTTTCCAAAGCTGTTTGTTAGATGCCCCATGTCCCAAATGCTTTAAAAACAAACCTTTTCGATTGAAATGGTGTTAAAACTTGTAGACCCATTTGGGTCTCAGATGTTTAAACCCCATCCCCAAGATCTGAATGTAGCAGCTGGGGCAGGCAGGTGTGAAGGGAACAGTATCTCAGAGGTCACTGCCTCTAAATCCTCCCCATTTTGCTCTGGCGTTTTGAAATACTAGCGTTTGTGTGAAGAGAGACATTTGTAGAATTTAAATGGATGGAAGTCGTATGAGAGGCTGGAGAGTTGTTCATTGCTACTTCAGAGGATCCAGGTTCGGTTCCCACACCCCATTCAGGCAACTCACAGCCACCTCAGTTACAACTGAGTGAGTTATAACTCCGGGTCCAGGGGATTCTAATACCCTCTCCTGGTCTCAAACATTTGCCGCATGTCCTATGCACTCATATAGACATACACATTCATATAAATAAAGCTAAGTATTTTAAGTGTGTACTGGCTAGGAGGTCAGCTCAGCGGTGTAACACTTGCCTTGCCTGCATGGGTCCCTAGGTTAGCCCTTGGAATAATGAAATGAATGATGGATCGATCAACTAAGATATATGTCATTTGCATTGGCCTTATGAGCACACAACCATCACTTCACTTACAGGTTAAGGTCCTAGAACTTGATAATTTTGTGGGACTTGAGCGTGTTAAAGTGGAGAGGAAGCTGGTTAAACACAGAGCTGGGACGGGCATCACTGGCATGGAACTGAGAGCAGTGGGCAGCAGAGAATGAAGACTCTGAATCTCTCTCTCATGGAGGCCAGGAGAAGGGAAGACCCGTGATCCACTCTGGAGTCACTTTTGAACCCAGAGGGAAACTAGTCCGGCCCCAGCTAGCTCCTCAGAACTGGGTGTCATCCTGCGGGATCTGGGGTGTCCTTATCCATTGTTCCGGCAGCTCTGAATTCAATGCCACAGCCACCAGCCCGTTCAGAAAGGAGCCCCCAAGAGTGGAAAGAAAACCACGAAGAACAAAATAAAATGGAAAGGAAGGACAGCACAGCAGCGTGGAAGAAACTAGTGTTCTCCACAGACAGACCTAGAAAGAGGAAGAGTGATGGAACTCATTAAAGGCCGACGGTCCTCAGTTGACCTGGGACATTTTGCAGGCCAGAGCCTGAGGAAGCACAGACACCCATTTGCAGACCTGAGTTTTGATTTTTTTTTAATGCAGCATTTTTTTTTGTAAATTAATATTTAATTTTCAACCAACTCCAGCACCTCGTTAAGGAGGGGCCTGTTCTTTGCCAAACTCTTCCAGGGAAACCTGCTGGCATGAGTGGAGGTGTCGGCAAACATTTCCCAGTGTGTTCTGATGGGGAAATATTTATTTTGTAACACTCCTCCCTAACCCAAAATACAATTGTGTGGCATGTTTTTATATGGCCAAGGGGAACTGGTCTGAGATTGTGTATCCATACTGCACCCGAACATTGAGAAACATGCTTTAGGCATGTTTCCACTTTGGCGTGGTCACGATGCTGTGTCCAGAAGGGTGGTGCTTCATGGGAAATTCTCTTTTGCCCTGAGGGGGGAAAATAGTTTGGAAACATGTCAGTGTGTGTTTGGTTTGGGAGCTTGAATACCGGACAGTCTTTGAAGGAGGCAAATAGGTATGAGAAATAATCACTTGTTCCTGCGAGTTCATTTCATACTGGCCTACAAAAACACACACAGGCTCCACTTCGGCAGTTGCCAAGTCTCCCTACAGCTAGCTTCCTAAAACAAGAAAGGTTTTTCCACAAAGCCATTTTCTGCTTTTGGTGGGATAACAGTTAGAGCAAGAGAGAAAGGGCCCTTTGACAGAATGATTCGATTTAAGGCCAAAATCTCAAACACTTTCCTTGTAACTGATGATCCCATCCCAGTACTGCCTAGGATCCGTGGAAAGACACCACACACGTCCAGAAATCATGGGAAAACCAGCTGCTCCCCCAGCCGTTTCAGCAGCTTTAATCCAAGCCACACTTTCTTCGGGGTAAAATGTGACTATCTGCTAAGAAAAGGCTCTGTCAGGAGATTCAAGAGGAACGATAGCCATGTCAAACAGAACTCAGGAAGAGCCTCCAACCCTCCCCGCCACTTCTCCCCATGCATTTAGAACATGTCCCTTTCTGGCTTGGATGCAAGGACAGTGTCCCCAGCTCAAGGCCAGAACAGAGAGTTTAAGAGCTGGGGGGGTCATTTCTGTGGCTCTAGTGTCTGGAATGTGTGGCAATTTGGAAGCACTGAGAAAGGGATGTAGGGACTGAGGCAGAACCCGTGTTAATGTTACTAAAAGAGGTCGACCAGAAAGCCTGCTAACCAGTGCCCTGCTGTTAGGTGGTGTAAATATCAATTCAAGAAGGCCTTTTATTAGGAGACAGTTGTATTATTTGTATAATAATGATGCCATAAACTTCTTTGGAAGAGGATGGATAATTTATGCATATAAATGAAAATCTAGTTCTGACAGGTGAACTCAACAGGAAATATAGAAATGGATATTTAAGTTAGAGTTTCTGTATCAATTTATGACCCATTCAGTACGACATGTCCTCTGAGGCATGACTAGTGGAGGCCACAATGTCAGCATCTTCAGCCAAAAAGCTACTTCCTGCCTCCCACATCCTGGTTTGCTTTAATAATTTATTATGACTCCTTCATCCACCCATCCATCCCTAAGCTAGCCGTTAGCTGCCAGTCCCTGTATGAAAGGGGACACTGACTTTTGCCTTTTATCTTGTAGCATCTAAAGGACAGTGCTTCCTTTTTCTTCCCAACTTTGCCTTACTCTCCAAAATAGAAAGGAAAAGAAATTCTGTTACTTTGAAACCTGGAACAGACTCTCTGTTTTTCTCCCTTACCTCGTTCAAAAATTTTATAACTCTATACTTTTGTTTCAGTTTATCATTCATCTTTCCAGGAAAGAAAAATAAAGATCCAATTTTTTTTTCTTGGCTGTACAGAAGCAGTTTCATTTTCTGGGCCATATTATTATTATTATTATTATTATTATTATTACTGCATTTCTCTGGCTTTTCTCCAGCTCCATTTTGCCTTCCCAGCAAAGGCGTGTTTTTAAAAGAAGCTATTTTGGAGAATAACCTCGCATGGTTTATTATTTTTCCTGCTCCATCAACCTCCAGTTTGCCATGCTCACAACTGTTGGTAAAGCCAAAAGTGAGTCATGAGTAGTTTCATTTCAAACAGAAGTGTTGACGCAGACTCGGTGTACTAATTTGCTAACCCTTCTGGGATATGTGCACACATATAAGTAATTCAGTGCACACCCACACAACTACAGAACATCCAAGGTGGTGATGATTACACACCCACCCACAGCAGCCACGGAGTGATCAGCAAGTTGTAAAGTATGAGTACATTGACACAGATTTATACACGGTTCCTGTAGTGAGTATGGAGTGTGGGGGTCAGGACCCAAGGAGTCCCCAGCCATGTAAGCCAACTCCACATCCCTGGACTTGGCGATACCCACGCTAGACAAGTCAAGTAGATGTCTTTCTTGTAAACGCAGTACATCAGCGGCACTCAGTATGATATCAGTTTGGCTATGGAAGTAAGGTGCCCCCGGCGTTGCTTGTGGAAGACTTTGGCTTTTTGGGGGCATTAGCAAGATTGCATCCCTGAGCTGCTCAGAAGAGAGCTGACTGTGTATGCTGTGAACTCATGTGTGTCCTTTATGATGTAAACTTTTCGCCCTTGGAGCTTTCATGTTTTCTTGAATAGAAGAAAATGGCATAGTCACAAATGCCCAAGGAGCCACTAGTGTTGCCATGGAAATGGGGATGAGGCTCTGAAGGCAGAAGGACTGGACAGGCCTAGAGGCCGATGGAGACAGGCATTAGAGAGAATTTTCATTTTGGGCCTCCAACAAGGTGGAGGTGGGAAAACAGCATTGCCTACACTCATCTTGCCTCATTTTGAGGCAATTTCCTCTTGTTTTGGGCTTTAGAGAGATGGAGAACTCTGAGAGGAGATGACTGATAATAACTTTTTCTTGAAGGCCGCTAAATCACCCCAAATAAATGTTCCTTCCAGACTGTAATCTGCCCAGTTCCTCTTCTTGTCCTCGGGGCACACATGTCCATCTGGTTTTGTTCTTTGGGGGAGAAGCAGAAGGAGGAGCTGTGGCAAGATGGGCAAGTTAACACGTTTTCCTTGGACCCCATCCTAGTTCAGGGTCTTCCTGTAGGATTTCAGAGCACCTCATCCTTGCTGCACACTGATGAATTCAACATGCGTGTCTGCTTTACAAAACACAAGCTTTCTTAGAAGGTCATTTAGGGTTTCATTGTTGCTATTTTTGTTGTTTTGTTTTTGTTTTTATACAAAGACTTGTCATGTATTGTTGACTGGTCTTGGACTTGTTGCAATCTTCCTGCCTCTGCTTTCTCACTGCAGGGATTTTAGGCACGAGCCACTACGCTCTGCCAAGAGTGGCATTTTAACAAAGAAGGTTTTCTGACCAGTAAAATTTCCAAGAATCTTGGTTTAAAAAAAATCATCAAAATTCAAGTCTGACAATAGTCCAAGCCTTGTCAAAGTGCTTTTATTTTGCTAAGTGAGAACATTAAAAAGAAAATTCCCATCTAATGACACCAATTCTCCCTAAATGAAAGCACATTTTCCGGTTGGAGATGTGACTCAGTTGGTAGAGTGCTTGTCTGATGTGCAGGAAGCTCTGGGTTCCTTGCCCGGCACCACATACACTGAACCTGGTGGTGCACACCCGCAACTCCTCCAGCCCTCAGGAGACAGCAGGAAGAGCTCAAGCTCCTCCTCTACACAAAGCAAGTTCAAGGATGGCTTTGGACACCAGAGACCTGGTCTCAGAAGAAGTAGGGGCAGGGGAGAGAAGGCCCATTTCAACAACAGCAAAATAGTGGAAGGGTAGAATTTCAGAATGAATGGCTGTCCTTGAAATGGAGCACAACTGGCTTAGGAGAAGCCTCCTGCCTTTATCTTGCTGTTAGCCTGTGATAAATACTGTATTGACTCAGAGGGATGCTAATCTAATAGTTGAGCACCTGCAGGGGCCCAGAGGGAACAGACTGTAGAGAAGGAAATACGCTGGCTTAGTTGGCTGCCCTATGTCTACCTTGTTTAGACTCTGCTAGCTTGGCTCTCTGAGCCCTTGACTGTCAGGGTGTCGGCCTCTACGTGGGCTGCCCACACATGATCAGGCCAGCAATTGACCGAAATGAACCAGTTATTGCTGAAAGTCATATCTTATCTCCTGAGTTTTCAAACATCAAGACAAAACCTTTTGGTCATCGGAGATGTAGGTCAGTTGGTAGAGAGCTTGCCTAGCATACACAAGGCACTACATAAATGGGGTATGGTGGTGGGGGCCTACAAACTTAGCACTTGGGAGGTAGAGGCAGGAGGATCAGAAGTTCAAGGTCATATACAGCTACATAGCAAAGTTGGAGCCGTGTTGGCCTTCTCACAGGTCGGGGAGTGGAGATTAAGTATCAGATAAGGACAATGCATGTAAAATGTGAAACTCTCAGCAAATGCCGCTCTGAAGCATTTGACATGGAAGATATCAAGTGCTAACACATTTTGATCAATCCCAGCAGCCATCCCAGCCCACTCTGGGAAGGGTCAAAGTGCAAGGTTGGGAGATAAAATATGCAAAACCCACATTTCTATTTTCGGTCACGCTCTGCAGTGTGGGTCCTAGAAGACATGGCCACAGCGCAGCAGGATTCGAGGAAGCCACGCTGATGGACGCGCAGGCTCACTCCTGGATTGTGATGACTAGCAGCTCCAGCGGCGGGTGGAAAATGGATTCCAGGTAGGGCTGAGACCTCTCCCAGTTTCCCAGATCCTGTCCAAACCTCTCTCCTACACACTCTGAATATATTATTCTTGAAAGGGAGTGAATTGGATTCACTGATAAGGGAAGCACCAAGCGGTTTCAAGACAGGCAGAGGAGAGAGCCTTTGTCTTCCGACTCTTGCATCGCATCCTGCCCAGCAGCCACTTGGTCCTTTTATAAAAGCATGATTACAGGAGGAAATAGGATGTTCTTCTAAAAACCATCTTCTTTTGGCATCTGCTGGGACAAGGACAGGTACCATCCAGTAGTAACATAAGAGAGTAGGCCACTAATGGCTTCTCATTGGTTTTTCAAAAGCCCAGGGCCCTCCCTGGTCCTCCTCTGTAAGGCTTGCACTGTTCACTGTAGCTGTTATTCCATTCAGTTGAAAAACTCCTTGTGTGCACACACCAACTTGATGGATTCCCCTCTGTGTGCCGTGGAGATGTTTTATTACCATTGGTTAATAAAGAAGCTGCTTTGGCCTATGGCAAGGCAGAATATAGCAAGGCAGGAAATCCAAGCAAAGTTAGAGGAAAAAGAAGGTGGAGTCAGGCAGACTCCATGTAGTTGCATGTAGATACAAGAGGTAACCATGAGGGGGCTGGAGAGATGGCTCGGAGGTTAAGAGCATTGCCTGCTCTTCTAAAGGTCCTGAGTTCAATTCCCAGCAACCACATGGTGGCTCACAACCATCTGTAATGAGGTCTGGTGCCCTCTTCTGGCCTGCAGGCATACACACAAACAGAATATTGTGTACATAATAAGTAAATAAATAAATATTAAAAAAAAGAGGTAACCATGAGTCTGGTGGCGGGGGGTGGGGTGGGGGGATGTAAAATAGGAGGCTGAAGAGATGGTTCAGTGGTTAAGAGAACTGGTTGTTCTTCTAGAGGACCTGAGTTCAATTACTAGCACCCACATGACAGCTCACAACTGTCTGTAACTCCAAGATCTGACACACTCACACAGACATACATGCACACCAATGCACATAAACTGAAAATAAATAAATTATTAAAAATATATGAAATGATAGAAATGGGCTAACTTAAGATGTAAGAGTTAATTAATAAGAAGCCTGAGCAAATAGGCCAAACAGTGTTATAATTAATACAATTTTTGTGTGATTATTCGGGCGACTGGGAAACAGAAAGCAGAGTCTCTGTTTACACCAACCTGTGATGCTTGGTATGTTTGCTCATCAAGGCACAGCACAGGTGTCACTCATATAGCCCCGGCAGCCTGGTTGGCACTGAGAAAGCCGGCCCTCCTGTGAGTGCCTTGTTACCAGTCTATTGCATTGGAAGAAGGAACGGGGGTGGGGGGACACAGCTGCCCCTGCTGTCCCAGCACAGCTCAAGCCCAAGGATATCAAAGAAATCTGCTCTTGTTTGGAAAGCTTGCCTCTGCCGACTGTATTACATTGTGTAAACATTTGGTGCCTCATAAATGCTAGTGGGCAGATGGGCATGCTGATGCCAGTCAGTTGGCTTGAAGGTAAAGCCCTGGCTGATGGGTGAGACTCGTCTCTGAGTCTCTGACGTGGTGTGTGGCATGAGCCCCTTGGCTATGCCTCAAACCCCCCACTTAGCACCTGCCAATCTTCTACCCTCTCCAAAAGAGTCTGTTTTTCTCCCTGCTGGGCCCCCCCACTTCGGGGGTTTCCTCCACGCTGTCTGTCCAAGTCTTTCTGCTGCTAGAAGTGTTTTCTCAGGCCCAGAAACACTGGGAGTGGAAAAATCAGGCCGCTCCAGCCCCAGCCACAAACTGTCCCCCTCCCGACAGCCTGGGCCTTCCTTTAGCTGCACCACTAGAACTGAAGCCCTGCCAGCTTGATTCCTGCTCTTGATCTGCTGGGCATACTCCCTCTTGATGGCGGTGTCCCCACCCCAGGGAAGACACTCCTGTGATCCCGAGAGGCCAAAGAGAGCAAGAACGGAATGGGAGAACCAGGCAGAAGCACGAAGGTCCCTGGAGCTCAGCCCATGCGCCCCGTGCCCAGAGTGAATCAGGACACGACGTCCACATGCTGGTGTTTGTTGCCCATCCAATTGTAGCAGCCGTAGTGCAAGAATCAGATGGCAGGTTTCAGGTCTGTGTAATGAAAACGAGTTTAACTGCTTCTCAAGACAGCCGGTCAGGACCTTCTTCACTTCCCTTCCCCATGAAATGTAGGGTGAGTCATGGCTGGAGAATCTTGCTTCCCCCCACTGCCCTGAGCCTCCAGCAGCAGAGAAGTTGGCTTCCTGGGGTTTCTCTTCCTGGCAGTAAACCTCATCCTTCCCAGGACTCTTATAACTGGACCAGAGAGAGCATCAGGGGTTCTCCTTAAAGCCCTGCTCCCATCAGGAGGGAGGACCAGTGTCTGCTACATGTCCTAGTGATGGGGGCAAGGCCAGACAACAAAGGGGCCAAACAGATGGCAGGGTTATGAGTCCTCAGGCCCTGGAGGCCTCTTTTCTAAACTCACGCTTACATGTGCCCAGGTCCCATAGTGAGCTACTGATAAGAACAAAAACTCAGCCCCTAAGTTACTCTGCCAGGGCTGCTGTAACACACTTGTGGCCAAGCAATGGGAAGGCATTGTCTCGTGGTAATGAGAGGCTTTTAGAGGCCAAGATGGAGGATCAAGCTAGCAGGACCAAGGGAGATGGATCTGCTCTGGTCTCTCTCCTTGGCTACGAGGACCACCTCCTCCCCAGTCTCTGTATGGCTTTCTGTCCATACATATCAGTGTGTGACATTTCTCCTTTTGTAAGAACATCAGTTAGACTGGACGAGGGCCTACCCTGGGGACCTTATTTTACTCATCTGTTTGTAGAGCTCATATCCAGATGGTCACATCCTGAGACACAGAGAGTTAGGATTCCAGCATGTGAGCGGCTTTAGCTTCTTACATGGGACCACAGTTACCGAGCAGCCTCCTAGAGGGAAGGGTCATTCCAGTAGGCAACATTCTCTCTCTCTCCTACCCATCCTTCTTCTATCCTTCCTCCTTTCTCCCAACTCCCTTTCTCTCTTTCCCTGCTTTATTCTCTCGGTCTCTTCCCCTTTCTCCTCCCTCTCACTGGGGTGAAGTGAGTTGTGTTGTGGATATTCCTGACCTCGCTCTGTCTCCTTAGGTAACATGCCACCACTGTAAACACGCGTCATTGGGTTGTTTATCCGACTGATGTCTATCTCTGTTAGACTGGGAGCCCAGGACAGGAGGGTGAGTGACTGTCCTGCCCTCTCCGCATCCCGGCACCTGACACACATAAGAAAGGCTCCTGACTCACAATGTTGGGTATGGGTTGAAAATCTCTCATGCTTGACCTCTGTGGTCTCTTCAATTCTCACTTTTTACTAGGTGTATAAACTGACTGCATGACCACACCTTGGTACGGTAAAGGGGAAGGTTTTTAAAGTAGATATGAGGGAGAGTACAGTCAGCGTTATCTGGAAAAGTCCAGAGCAGGGAGAGAAAGTAGTAGCATGAACATGGCCAGCAGACTGGTTCTGGTCACAAGAGAAGCAGGAGCAGAACAGAGATGGGGTAGGGGGCGGGGAGGTGAGCGATGAAGACAGAGAGGGTAAAAGAGACAGCATAGCCGAAATAGCAGGGTTATAAAGAGAGAGGAGAAGATGAGAGGGAAGAGCATGAGCTGGAGAAATTTAGGGCGGTGTGTGTGTGTGTGTGTGTGAGAGAGAGAGAGAGAGAGAGAGAGAGAGAGAGAGAGAGAGAGAGAGAGAGAGAGAGAGAGAGAGAGAGAGAGAGAGAGAGAGAGAGAGAGAGAGANGAGAGAGAGAGAGAGACAGAGACAGAGACAGAGAGAGAGAGAGAGAGACAGAGAGAGAGAGAGAGAGAGAGAGAGAGAGAGAAGGGTGAGGATGCCATCATGGACTCGGACATGTGTACAGGTACTTGTAACATTGAGGGAACATGGAGGCATGTGCTTTGGTATGCTAATAGGCACCCCAGATGTCCCTTCTTCTTCAAGTGATAAGGGAAATAGCTCCTTCGGTAGAGGGGAACCAGTCTTCCAAGTTCCTGAGGAATATTGCCAGAATAAGGAGAAATGGAGCTTCCTTTGAACCTGACACTAAGCAGTTCCCAGTAACCTCTGTCCCACTTACCCACTTTTCAGAGTTGTATCATATACTAAATTTCACTTCATATCACTTGCACTATAGAAATGAAACACTTTCTCACCCTTTGCTGTGTTTATGGCGGGGATCCTTATCATATGAGACAAGTTAGCAGAGAAAAGCACATGCCTCTATTTAGAACAGGTTTAATGAAAGATGGGTGCTTTCGGAAATGAAGATCCCAAAGAAACAGAGAACCCATACAGTATTTTTACTCAGTTTTCTCCATTAGAAACCAGTTCTCCCGGGCTGCTCTTACAGAGGACCAGAATTCAGTCCCAGTTACTGGAGCCCCCAACCACCTGTACTCCAGCTCCTGGGGATCTGATGCTCTCTTCTGGCTTTTTAGGGCACTTGTATGCATATGTATACACACACACACTGACATGCGCACGCACACTCACATACATACACATACAGAGACAGATATACACAGAGAGACACACACACATACACACACAGAGACACAAAATACATCCAGTTTGGTGGTGGTGGCACACCTTTAATCCCAACACATGGGAGGCAGAGGCAGGAGAATCTCTGAGTTTGAGGCCAGAGCCTGTTCTACAGAGTGAGTTCAAGGACAACCAGAGCTACATAGAGAAACCCTGTCTTGAAAAATCAAGAAAGAAAAAACAAAAACAAACAAACAAAACAAAAAACAGAAAAGAAAAAGAAAGGAAGGAAGGAAGAAAAAATAAATCTTAAGAATATAACCTTAAAACTCATCCACAGTTTTCCTTAAGTGAGCAGATGGTAGAAGGGAATCTGTCACAGGCTGGATGCTCCGTTTATTTCATGCTTTAAAACTGACAACTGCTAAAAAAAAGTCATGGATGTTGAAA